CACAGGGAGCAACTGGGCCCAAGATGGCCGACTACCCAGAAACTTATTCGGACCTGTCTGATGACTTCTCCCAGGGGGAGGACACACACATACCCCTCGGCCTACCGGTGACAACACCCAAGCCCCAGGACCTCGACAATGCACCTGTTACTACAGCAGTGCTTAAGACGCTTCTGGCGGGCCTACAGACCACGATCCAGGCAGAAATGGCGGGCCTCCGAGCGGACCTCCAGGGCATAACCGGGAGACTGAGCACCCTGGAACAGACGTCCACTACCGCTACGACCCAAATTGCCTCCATGCAACAGGAGATAAGGGGCCTGCAAAGCAAAACAGAGGCCTTTGAGCGGCGATTCGCCGCACTGGAGGACACACGCCGAACGGCCAACATAAAGATACGGGGCATACCTGATAACATGCCGGCGGAGGAACTACCGCACTTCGTGCGAAGACTTCTTTCGGCGCTACTACCATCACGTCAAGCAAAAGCAGTAAGTCTGGACGGAGTTTACAGGGTACCTAAATCAGCCAAAGCCCCAAAAACAGCTACCAGAGATACCATAATCCGCTTCCAGCGCAGGGATGACAGAGCAGCAACTATGGCGGCGGCAAGGAATCATGCCCAGTACACCTTTGAATCAATATCGCTTACCTTCTTTACAGACTTAACCAGTAGCACTCTGGCCTGGAGGAGGTCGCTCCGGCCGTTCACTACGCTTCTTCAACAGAAAGGCATAACATATAGGTGGCGCCTCAACCGCACCCTGCTAGTACACCAGGGCGAGAACACACACGAAGTATACGACCTGCAGGGTGCGCAAGACCTACTAGCCACGTTGGGACTGCCTCAAGATGAAATGCGCCCCACGGCACACACCGGGACCACCACACCAAAGCACAGGTGGGATCCTGATAGGGTGCACACCTTTGTACCTCTACGGCCCAGACATGGAATCCCTGTTGACAACCCAGCATGAAGGACTCGGGGACACGAAAACCATGCTAAAACTCTGCCCGGGACAGTTGGACCTAATTCTAACAGAGTTAATATTTTTGTTTTTATTTTTATTTTTTAGACTCCTCAGTTATGGTGGTCGTTCTGTTTAATTTGCTTATATGGCAAGCTTTGCCTGTTATCATCCATGTCTGAACTCTTCCCCCAGCAGGACACAAATAATGATGCCAGCCACCTACACACATTACACATAGACCTATGCCACCCATCAGATTAATTAACCTCCGTTCCCCCCCCCCGCCCGCCCTCATCAGATATAAAACAACACAAACCTATTAACGGCGGACAGGGCTATCTTACACCCTGCAACCGAACACCCCCAACCTCACAACCATATTCACAGCAACAGCGGGGGGAAAAAATAAAAAATAAAATATTATATTATATTATAACCATACTACTGAACCTAGCCCTCCCAACCCCTGCAACAGCTCACTAAAAACACAGTAGGGCTCACCTAGGGGCACATGCACTAGAAACGCAAACTAATCTCTCACACATCAGGTATCAACCGGTTGTTGTGAAGTTGATGTCTCAAGCACATTTTTAGTACACATTAGGCACTACACCGAAGTCATATTTACCCTGCTTTACCATGTGTACTTATTTTCTTTAATCACTCTACGCATTACTTGCTTGTTATACATTTCAAATGTAAAATGTGCAACCTCTTAACTATGCCAATGATTGTCATGGAATTGCTCGCAGTCGCTATCGTGGCGTTGCAAGCGTGTTTTGTAACCACATGCACAAGTAAAATAAAGAATTTAAAAAAAAAAAAAGTTCAAAAGTTAAGGCTAGTTCTAACATTTTATGTCACAGAAATGTATATTCACTCTTTTGATAACAAGAATGAATATATCTACCGTATATACTCGTCTATAAGTTGATCTCGTCTATAAGTCGAGAGCAGTTTTTTGACCAACAATTGTAAAATTACTCGTGGATAAGTCGAGGGTAAAACTTGGGGCTATGAAATCCTGGGATTTTTATTATTTTGTCAGATATTACCTAGGCAAAGATCCTGGAACAATCAAACTGTTATGGTAACTACTCCTCTGCATCTCAGTGCACACGCTCAGCTCCAAAGGCACATTCGGTTATCTCGCCAGCTAGTGGTCTTGCTTGTGGCTCATTACAGCCACCGCTGCAACAGTGACGTGGAAAGCGTACAGATAGGTGGCAGTAATCAGCAATCGCTGCACTGTATTCTAAATCAGCCTGCTGTTGTCCGTGTGTGTACCCGGTATCTGGGTCAACGTACAGCTAAGTACTCTAGCACTACCTGTAACTCGATATTGCCCCGCATTCAATGTGAACTAAATTCTATCGAAACTAGCATGGACCCGTGGATCTGCGTTTTAAAATGAAGCTTACAACTAAAATTTCTCGAGTATATACGGTAGTCTGTTTGCATGTGCATGAAGAAGTTTTACGTTTGTTAAGATTCATGATGGATTATCAAGGAGTGTGCATACTTGACTTTCCATAGTGATCAGTTTTACTTTGTTAAGATATATTTTTACTTATTTGAAATCTCATAAAATCTTACATGTAAGGTAAGTATGAGTTGTATATCCTTTGTTTGCATGAGGTTTTTATTTTTTTTTTATTTTTTATTGTTACCATGCATGGAGTTCCTGGAGTTTCTTGGTTACCTCTAGAACTTTTCTGGGGAGATTAAAATAGTTTGACAAAAAAAAAATGTTGTTTTAGGCTGGTGGTATACACCCAAGAATTCCTGTTGATGAGGTTTCTGCCGGCCCAAGTGCTCCTTCAAGCAGGCCGGTTGTGTCCGTCGAAGATGAGGTGAGCCCACAAGCAGAAGAACAGGTGATTGAGGAGGAGCTGGTGTCAGAACGCAGAGAGCAAGCGCAGATAAATGACCCAGATGTTTTTGAAGACCTTCCTGAATTAGAATGTATCACATCTGAAGACATGTCAGGAAGCGTTATAAATGATCCATCAGAAATATCTTTTAGTCTTCCTCCTGCATGCGCCATAGCAGAAAAAAATAATTTTGTTGAAAAACACCCTTTTCAGCCAACCAGGACTGAATGCGCAGATCTTCCTTTTCAAGAAGCAGACTTTTATTACCGCAAAAAGTCTAATGGGGATCGTATTAAGCGTTCATGGCTGAGTTGCAAGATAAAGGATCGAAAGTTAGAAGCATTTTTTTGCAGCATATGCATTGCCTTTTTCTAATTCCTCTTCCTCGTTCACTAGTGGTTGTTCTAATTTTCGCCATTGCTATCAGGCAGCAAATAAGCACGAATCTTCAAAAAGTCATTCTGATGCTGTTAGTGCTTATTTTACCATGAAAACGAATAGAAGCATTGACACGTTATTAAATCAGGCTCAAGTCTCCAGAAGAAAGAAGGAGATACTACAAAATATTGAGGTATTAAACCGTATATTTAATATTGTAAAACTCCTCGGAAAACAGGGATTGCCATTTCGTGCCCATGGCACTAATGAATCGCTGTACAATTTAAATAACATTGAAATAAACCACGGGAACTTTCTGGAAATTGTCCTACTTCTATCACAGTATGATATTCCTCTTAAAAATCACCTTGATAAATGTGTTCAGGACAGTGAAAAAAGAAAACAGCGATTGAAAGACAGAAAAACATCAGGAAAACATTCAACTGGACGTGGATCTCTTGTGACATTTTTGTCCAATAATACAATAAAGAAAGTATTTGCAGCAATAGTTCAAAGCATGAAAAACTTAATTGTGTCTGAAATCGGAGAGAAACGATTCAGTATACAGGTTGACTCCACACAAGATGTTGGAATTGTAGATCAAGCAACAGTAGTTGTGAGATATGTGCAAGATGAAGCCATTAAAGAACGGCTTGTGGCGATTCTCCCTGTTAAAGACGCTACAGGAAAAGGATTTCACGAACTTCTAATGTCCTGTTTTGATATGCTTGGATTAGATTTCCAAAGAATTGCTGGTGAATCATTTGATGGTGCAGCAAATATGAGGAGTGCGTATGTGGGACTACGTGCACAGATTGCAAAGGTAGTGCCAGATGCGGTTTATATTTGGTGCTATAGTCATATCCTTAACCTGTGTGTCTCAGATTGCTGTCAAGTATTGGAAGCCAAAAAATTTTTTGGTCTCCTAAATCGCTTGGCAACCTTTATTGGAGACTCACACAAAAGAATGAATATCTGGAAAGACCAACTGGATAGAAGACATGGACAGGAAAAACTTTTAAAGTTACAAAAAATTGGAGAGACAAGATGGTGGGCAAAAGAAAAAGCCCTTAACTGGATTTTTGGTGAAAAACATTCTCTCTGACACCCTTGAAGTTTTATATGTAATTTCCCAGAGTAACTTGTTTGAATCAAAAACCACTTCTGAGGCCTCATCCCTTTTTCACAATCTTTGTCAGTTTAGGATTATCCTAACAGCAAACATATTTTTACAGGTTTTTGATGTTATAGGGCCAGTGTCAAAGTATCTACAAACCAGTGGCCTTGACTTCAAGGTAGCATGGCAAATGGTCGAACGTGCAGTGGAGCAACTGAAGAAAATTGATTTCAACAATCTAAAACAAAAGGCTGAACACTTTGCAATAAAAACAAACGAGTTAATGGATGAAAGTGATGTTCTCAACTCCTTGGAAGTCGAGACTATGCTTCCAGTTCGAAGAGTGGCACGAAAGAAACGCTTGGCTGGAGAATCTTCACATGATGAACGGCCTGAAGATGAAATGCAATGTTTTCGAGCTAGTGTGTTCAGACCAATTCTGGACCAAATCATACAAAGCATGACGGAGAGATTTTCAGAAAATAAGCAATTGGTCATGGATTCCCACTACTTGGATCCTCGCACTTTTCAGAAAATTAGGACAGATCCCAAAGTGCTAGATGGAGGGGCACTAGAGAGAATTTCTAAGTTAGCCAAAGTAAATGAATGTTCTCTCAAAACTGAATTAATAAGTTTTGCCAACTTATTTCCAAGTCTTACAGGATGTCTTTCTGAAGATGAGACACAGAAAGTGGAAATAATTATTGATGAGGAGGAGGAGGAAGAGGAGGAGGAGATTGACTGGATTCCACCTACTGACAAACTAGTTGAGGTACAAAAGGAATCAAAGTGCGGTTCTGGCAAGCAGTGCTTTCTTTGCTGCCACAGGTTGTTGATAAAATACAACCTTTATTCTGCAGCTTATGAAAATCTTTCTATCACCTATGAGTACCTGTTGACACTTTCTTTTACACAAGTGTCATGTGAGAGAGCATTCAGCAAGCTTAAACTCATCAAGACCCGACTGCGAGCCACAATGGGACAAGAACTGCTTGATGCTCTAATGCTCATGTCAGTGGAGAGAGATCTTCTGGAACAGGTTCAGTTTCCAGATGTATTGGAAATTATTCGTCAAAGTTCTACCTTGATGAGGTCTTTGCTAACCGTTTGATCAAATATTTAGTTTAAAAGTTTTATACAGATATTTCTTTCTCTGGCTTCTGTATTTTTTTGAAAAAGTGTATTGTGCCCATACATTGTTCATTTGTTAAAACTGTAGATTTTATTTTTGTTAAACATAATTTTTTGCCATTACAAATAAATTATGTTAAACCACATTGTATCATATTTGTCTTGCTTCATAACATCAATATCCGTTATAAAACAAGGAAAAGGTGGGCGTGGATGGTGAGCTGATTCGGTGGTCCAATGGGCCACTTGACTGGGATTGCCCCCCAGGACTAAGGCTGCCAGCCCTCCCCTGTGTCCCTTGGTGTACAAATGTAAAGCAATCCTACTGAGCCCGAGGGCCTTTCCTTCGCGTAGCGCCTCATAAGGGTGAAAAAAGGGGGGGGGGGTGGTGTGGGGAGTAGTGAGGTCTGACACCTTTCTTCCCATCAGTTTTCGTGGATATATCAATCCACTCTTGACTTCACTACTTAAGGGTTTTATGAGTTGTTGGTTACTAGCACATGTGCATTGGGTGTCGTGTGCCCTCTAATGTAGTGAGGTGGTGGGGCTACCGGAGCTGTACATCCTATGGGTTATGTACCCGTAGGTTAAGTTGTAGGCCTAATTATGTTGGGTGTTTTAACTCCCAGTTTTCCCATACTTCCCTTTTCCAGCTGTTTCCTGGTGACATTCTTGAGATATTGGATTCGTACTTTCCTACTTGAGATACATGTTTAATAATATCTTGTGTTGCTGCATTATTGGGCGATAGCCAGTTTTTTGCTACTAGTTGTTGAGCTGCTACTAGTATGTGAAATATTAAGTATCGTACAGGTTTAGGGTAGGTGGTGCCTAGCATAAAGAGAAGTAGAGAGGTAGGGGTGTTTGGTATGTTCACTGATGTGTGACGGTGTATCAATGAGATGACTGCTTTCCAATATGGTTGAAGTTTGGAGCATTTCCACCAAACATGGAGAAATGATCCTATTTCGGTTTTGCATCGCCAGCAGGTGTTGGGTAGTGTTGGGTCTATTGTGGCCAATCTCGTAGGGACCATGTACCAGCGGTAAAGGATCTTGCGGGTTGTTTCTAGGTGAGATGCACACTGTGTTAGGCCTTTCGTTATATTTATCGTGGCCATCCAAATTTTCTCCGGTATTGACTGGTTTAGGTCTTTTTCCCAGGAAAGTACGAAGGGGAAAGTTTTAACCTCACGTCTAGATAACAGCAGGGCATATGTGGTGGATATGGGTTTTTTAATCTGTTTACCCGCCATGAAAAGTTTCTCAAACTCTGTTAACTCAGGGGTGGTTTGGGGCTTGAAAGTTTGTATTTTGGATTTCCACCAAGATGTTAATTGCATATATGAGTGGTACGCCGTGTTGGGTAACATGTAGGTCTCTTTCATGTGATCAAATGTATCTAATTTCCCCTTGTTGAAGAGAGAATGTAGGTGAAGTACACCACATCTGTTCCAGACCCTGTAGTTAAAATCTGGTATTTCCCAAGCTAGAGCTTTGATAGGGGTAGAGAGGGCAATCGGATAATTGCTACATAGAAATTTGCGCGATGCGTCCCATATTTTCAGCATTGCTAGGGTGGTTGGGAGTACCTGTGTTGTGTTTCCCCTATTCTTCGGGGATAGCCATATTAATGCGTCTATTTCTTGGTTTTGTAGCCAATGTTGTTCTAGCTGCACCCATTGTGGCCTGTCCCGCTCCTGGGCGGCGGGGAAGAGGCTAGCCAGCACTGCTGCTCTGTGATACAATTGTATATTGGGTAGACTCATTCCTCCCCTGTTCCTAGGTTGGTATAGTGTGGATATGGCTATTCTGGGTCGTTTCCCCTGCCAAATGAAAAAATTAATCTGTTTCTGAAGTGCCATGAAATAAGCCCTTGGTATTTGTAGAGTGAGTGTTCTAAACAGATATTGTAGTTTGGGCAAAATTACCATTTTGACCGCTGCTATGCGCCCCGACCATGAGATAAATTTATTTCCCCAGTTGTGAAGCAAAGCAGTGATCTCCTTGCTGAGTTTAACGTAGTTTATGTTATATAGGTTGGACAAGTTGTGTGGGAGCTTTACCCCTAGGAAAGTCAAATGGTCATCCCTCCAGTCATAGGAGAATTGTTTCTTTAATGCCGACAAGTACGCACTGTCCATTCCCACTCCCATGGCTTGTGTTTTGGAAAGGTTTAATTTATAATATGAACATTTGCTATATTCCTGTAATATGGCGTGGAATTTTGGCAGGGATGTGTGTGGTTCAGTGATTGTGAGCAGAACATCATCCGCGAAAAGGTTCAGTTTGTGCTCGCTATCTGCCACCCTAATCCCTTTGATCTCCTTCTCCATGCGGATAGCCTCGGCCAAGGGTTCTAGGGCCATGATATATAGGAGGGGCGATAGGGGGCACCCTTGCCTAGAGCCATTAGTAATAGTGAAAGGTGCGGATTGAAATCCCGAGGTGAAAACTCTAGCTTCGGGGTTGCTATACAAGGATTTGACTATTGAGATAAAGTGCATGGGGAAATCAAATTTGGCCAGGACCGCCCGCAAGAATGACCAATGCAGGCGGTCGAAGGCTTTTTCTGCATCAAGGGATAATAAGAGACTTTGAGGAGATTGTCTGTGCATAGTGTGTAGTAGTGCAAGGGTTTTGCGTGTTCCATCTGTCCCCTGCCTTCCATGTACGAAGCCGACTTGGTCAGAGTGGATGATGTGTGGGATTATGTTTGACATGCGGTTAGCGTATACTTTAGCAAGGATTTTAACATCAGAGTTGAGTAGCGAAATTGGTCGAAAGTTAGCACATTGGGTTGGTGGTTTTCCTGGTTTGGGTAATGTGGCCACATTAGCCGCGAGCATGTCTGCTGTGATAGATTCTAGTGTAGTGGTGGATGTGAAGAGCGACACTAACCTGGGGACCAGAGTGGAGGAGAATTTCTTATAATACAAATTTGGTAGACCATCTGGACCTGGGGCTTTGTTATGTGGCAAGTTTTGTATTACTGTTTCCAGTTCCAATTGGGAGATGGGTTTAGATAAAGAGGATCGTTGCTCGTCTGTCAATTTGGGCAGATTAATTTTGTCCAAAAAACTAGCTATTTCCCCTTCTGTGGGTTGATGCACAGTAGGGTCATTTTTGAGGTTATAGAGTTTCCCATAAAACTCTGCAAAATGGTTACTGATGTCTTGGGGTTTGATGATTTTATCCCCATTTCGAGAAAAGAGGTGGGATATTTTGGTGTGGGCCTGAGCGTCTCGGAGTCTACTTGCTAAAAGCGAGCCCGCTTTGTTGCCCATGCAGTATTCTCTCGTTTTCAGCCTATGTAGGGTACGTGTCGTTTTGGCTATGTTAATGTCATTCAGTTCTGATTGGAACCGTGTTATCAGTTCCGCATCTTGTGGGTTTGGATTAACCATGTGAGCTGCAGAAGCATCTCTCAATTTCCTAAGGAGGTGTAGGGAGTTAGCCTGGGAGATCTTTTTGAGGTGCGAGGCACGCCTTATGAACAGGCCCCGCACTACAGCCTTATGGGCCCTCCATACTGTCGTGGGACTCGTTTCTGGTATGTCGTTAGTGGAAAAATAGTGTGTGAGTTCGGTTTCTATCTCTAACTTAAACTGTTCATCCTGTAAAAGCGATTCATTTAATCTCCAGGGGTTACAACCTCGGTATCTAAAATCATCTTTTAAGGTTGCTATCACAGGTGCATGGTCAGACCACAGGATATCCCCCATAACACATGATTGGATTAGGTTAAGTGAAGGGCCTGGTACGAGTAACACATCTATTCTGGAGAATGACTTGTGTGGTTTAGAGTAGTAAGAGTATCCTCTCTCTGAAGGATGGAAGGTTCGCCAGCTATCATATAAATTGAACTTGAGCAATAACTGTGTCAGGTTTTTGCAATGCGGTTTGAGGGATTTGTGTCTAGAGGCTTGTGGAGGCGTAGAAGTATCAAGAAGGGGGTCTAAGACGTGGTTTATGTCTCCACATATCACTGTGGTTCCTCTTTGTACCTTCGCCACTTTCGTGAGGATACTAAACAGAAAATTACGTTGGTTTTCATTCGGTGCATACACGTTTACTATTGTGTAGACTGCATCGTTCAATAAGCAGATAACTATCAGATACCTTCCCTTGTCATCTGAGAATCTCTGTAGCAATTCAAAGGCAACGAAGTTATGGATGTATATGGACACTCCTCTGGATTTGGATAAGTGGGATGAGTGGAACTGGTGGGGGAAGTGTTTCATGCCAAAGTGGGGCGTATTAGCCTTGGCGAAGTGGGTCTCTTGGAGACAGAGTATGTCTGCCTTCAACTTGCGGGCCTCTTGGAGTAACATGTGCCTTTTATGGGGCATATTTAGTCCCCTCACATTGTGGGAATAGATCTTCAGAGTGAGTTGCGGGTGGGCTTGTTAGGTAAGCAAGTGAGTGCCTTATTTGGGTGCAAGTATCCCATTATACATAGGTTAAAGAGAGGATGAGATGAAGTACCTAGGTATGCCATGCTTGTGGCAAGTTTTTGGGTGCTCAGCTTTGTGCCTGGGAATATAACTGGGTAAGTAGGGGGGTGGTGGTGGGTAGGGTAACAAACATCGAACAAAAGTATATACAGATAAAACCGATCTCGGTGCAAGGCGCGCCTGTGCTGCGCCGTGGGGGGCATGGGATCGGAGTGGTGGACAATCGTGGCCTGAGCTGGCTAAATGTTAAAGTGCTGCTCAGACAACTTATAACACCAATCGACAGGGCCCCTTGTATCAAAACCACAAGGGGTTCCAGAATGAGCACTCTTTTCTATGTAGCGGGAGTAGATGTATTGTCCCCGCAGGGTGACATTTTCTTGTAGAGAGGGGGGGGGAGAAATTAGTGCTGTGACCGGTGCCGCATGGGCAGACTTGACTAGTACGGTAGGAGACCCGGGGTTCACTACAGTGCTTTCCGTGTGCGCATAAGGTTTAAAGTCACATTAATGCATGCGACTTGGTCTGGGAGGTTCACCTATGGAGCGGATGTCAATAGATGGCAGAATGGGTAGATACTGTGTCCGCCTCATTAGCTTGGGAGTGTGGAGGGCTTTAGTGTCTGTGTTCGGCCCTTATGTAGTTCCCACTGTAAGACACCATTCACATACAATTTCCATATCATTATTAGTGCTCGGGTTGAGCTTCGCTTCGACTCTGTTCCAACAACCCCTATTTCAAACACAACCATGCAATGTGGCGATTGTACATAAGTATATATCTTGAACACATGGGTTGCGCACCGAAGGATCCGATGGCTACTAAGTTTCATCTAACCCTGGTTGTCGGCTTAATATTATGTATACTATATCAGATCTACAGAGACATAACTCCGCACTCCGTCCAATCCTCATGTGGGTTTACCCTGGAGCGCTGCCTAAAGCTCAGTCCATGCTTTTTGGAGGTTGTTTACTGGCAGAAGGCTGGTTACCAGCGTTTCGTTTAGGCGTTGTGCGGGTTAATCTAATTTACAGCTTTTCACATAAAAATCAATCAGTCTATTGTCTCATGTTCCAGCTCCCTGCTGAGGGGGGGGGGGTTGGAGGCCCCTACTTGGTGCCAAACACTAATCTAGCGTTCCCACAAAATTGCAACATGTCGTGGCTCATCACTTTGGTAATCGATGTGCCAGTCCTAGCTTAGCTATGCTTACGGGTTGTACGTGAGTCATATGTACCTTCCTTGATTGATGTGTGTGGTTAATAGCGATGCCCACGTGTTAAACTATGTGAACCTCCTGAACGCTGACGGTACAGCACCCTATACCGGCCATATTTTCTATTATGCTTCTGCGGCACCATGTCAAGCCCACATTGAGTTTTTAAGTTATATAGGGCATATGCTATTCTGCTCTGCCAAACACTTATACATAACAATTACAGTACAGTTATACAAGAATAATTACAGTGCATGTCATTATGGTATTGTCAGCTTATAGCATCCATCGCACGGATGCTGTCAGGTAGGATGGTTGTTAAATGGGTTGTAATTGAAATACAGTCATATACCGCCGGAGCGGGAATACTTGCGGTAAGTTGTTAGTTGGTAGTATGCCAGTCTTTCTCCACTCGGCGCGGGCCCTTGGGAGCTTGAGAGTCCCCTACCACGGGTAAGTTCCATTGTCTTAGGAGGTCCAGCCCTTCTTCCACCGTGTGGATGGTCGTGGTTGTCCCGTTTCTTGAGGCAATGAGGCGAACCGGGAAACCCCAGCGGTACAGAATGTGGTTGGCTCGGAGGGTCTCCGTTACCCGCTGGAAGGTCTTGCGTTGTCTCAGGGTGGCCGCGGAAAGGTCAGAAAACATCTTGATCGCGGCATATTCCATCGGTAAGTCTTTCGCCGTCCTGCTCCTCCGCATTAATAGATCCTTCACGTGGAAATAGTGGGCTTTCAGCAAAACATCCCTGGGTAGTGAAGCCGCTATTTGTTGGGGTTTCGGGATTCTGTGTAGGCGGTCTAATAGCAACATGTCCGTGTGGACCTCAGGGGCCAGAGCTTTGAAAAGGCCGTGCACATAGCTGGGAAGGTCTGCTTGGAGAATAGTCTCCGGTATGCCCCTCAGTCTAATGTTGCTTCTCCTTGATCTGTCCTCGAGGTCCATAATCTTGGTTTTGCAGTGCTGCAATTGGGATGAGAGGGATTTGATTTGTTCAGTCGATGCATTATGTGCGTCAATTAAGTCCTCCATTTTGGTCTCCACGTGCGTTGTGCGGGAGCCGATGTCTTGTATGTCGCGTTTTAATTCTGCAACGCTTGATTGCCAAATTGAAATTAATCGTTGCGATTGTTCTTCTAGGGCTTGTTTCAGTGTTGTTATGGTAAGCAGCCCATCATTTTGTGGTGAGTCGGCTTCCGAACCAGGGCTGCTGCCTCCTGAATGTTCAGCGCCATCTTGTTGGTCTGCGGCCGCGGATTGTATAGCTAGGGCTGCCACTTTTTTTTGCGAGAAAAAGTTGGTTTTGTCGAGCTTGTCTTGTTGTCGCCGGGATTTGGGTTGCGACATCTCGCTTTCGGCTCGAGTTACCCCGCTGGGTGCTCCCTTATTCTTAGTTTCGCCTAGCTCGTGGTGCAGAGCTAAAGACTCAAGCGGCCATCTTTCTCCGCGTCCAGCCACGCCCCCCAAGAAGTGTGTTTTTAACGATTTTTTGAAGGAGTGGAGACTGGGTGAGCATCTAACGGAGGAGGGAAGCGAGTTCCACAGGAATGGTGCAGCCCTCAAGAAATCTTGAAGGCGAGCATCAGAGGTGGGAGTACGGACAGAAGATAGACGTAATTCTTCAGCAGATCGTAAGGGCCTAGACGGGACACACTTGTGTATAAGGGAGGATAGATAGGTGGGAGCAGCATTATGTAGAGATTTGAAAGCAAGAACCAGAATTTTATATTTAGCTCTATATTTTATAGGAAGCCAATGTGGGGACTGACAGAAGGGTGAGGCATGGGAGGTGCGGGCGGACAGGAAGATGAGCCTCGCCGTCGAATTCATTATGGACAGTAACGGCGCAAGTTGGGAGCACGTAAGACCACTGAGAAGCGGATTACAGTAGTCAAGGCGAGAAAGGACAGTGAAATGGACCAACACCTTAGTCGCATCTGGTGTTAAGTAGGGGCGGATGCACGCAATGTTTTAGAGATGGAAATGACAGGATTTGGCGATAGATTCAACATGAGGCTTGAAGGAGAGGTTGGAGTCAAAGAGAACACCTAAGCAGCGAGCCTGCGTGGTGGAGTTGATGATAGCACTGTGGACTTGGAGGGAGACAGACACTGGAGTAACAACTTTTGGTCAAGTTTAGTTTAAGGAAGTGGGCAGCCATCCAGTTAGAAACAGCAGAGAGGCAGTCAGAGACAGTAGTCAAGAGGGACGGGGAGAGATCAGGAGAGGACAGGTAGATTTGCGTGTCATCTGCATAGAAATGATATTGGAAGCCAAAAGAGCTAATGAGTTTACCAAGGGAGGCAATATAGATGGAGAACAGTAGGGGACCAAGGACTGAACCTTGAGGGACACCAACAGAGAGGAGTTGGGGAGAAGAAGCAGAGCCAGAGAAAGAAACACTGAAAGAGCGCTGGGAGAGGTAGGAGGAGCACCAGGAGAGAGCATACAGTCAGATAAACACATACAGTCAGATACACACACACACAATCAGATGCACACGCATAAAGTCAGATACACACACATAGTCAGATGCACACGCATAAAGTCAGATACACACGCATAAAGTCAGATACACACACATAGTCAGATACACACACACACACACACACACACACACACACACACAGTCAGATACACACACATAGTCAGATATACACACATACAGTCAGATACACACACATACAGTCAGATACACACACATTTATATCAATTTAAGTCTTGCCACCCTCTTGTCTCCTTACCTTTAGAGAAGGGTGGCTTCCCTGGGGTCCAGTGGAAGCTGGATGGCTGAGGTTGATGGGAGTCTGATGAACATGTTTACCTCAGTCCCTCTCCTCCACTTCCTCCTCCTGTGTGTGCACCCTCCCTCTCCTCCACTTCCATGTGTGTCTCCTCCTCCCCAGCGGTACTCTGTTACTTGGGAGGAAGTGATCTAACCTCACTTCCTCCCAGCAGGCATACAGACAGGGGCTCGGTCAGGAGCACTCTTAAAGGGCCGGGGGGCCCTGATTACTTCACTTGCCGCAGCCCACCGGAAAATTTCTCAGTATACTGGTGGGCTGTTCAGTCCTGGTTGCGGGCAGGGGGCCCATGGGGTAGCTGCTTTGGGCCCCCCAACAGTTATTGGGCCAGGGGCAGCTGCCCCATTTGCCCCTTGTTAAAGACGGCCCTGCCTACTGCACCTACAGCAAACCCATTCCGGCCAACCCTGGGGGGGCACACTCCACCATCCAGGTATAATGGCAGAGCGAATATACAGTGCCATACGTGCAAACAATGGGGCCACATGGCCAGAGAGTGTACCCAGAACCGGAGCCGCCAAGCATGGAGCCAGGTACGGCAGAATCCAGCACCAAGAGCAGCCGCCCACCACTACCAAGCAGAGCCAGCAACCCAGGAGATACTTTTTAATCAGACCGAAGAGCCCCTGGGGATACTACACGATGTGATGTCGGTACAAGCCACAGACAACAGGCAACACCATCGCCAGCTAGTAACCCTGGAAGGGAAAGAGGTCCAAGGGCTCCGGGATTCGGGAGCCACTCTGACTCTGGTAGCCCCTCATTTGGTTACAGGCTCCGCACACACCGGCGGATCTGTAGCAGTGCGAGTAGCAGGGGGAGCGGTATACAGATTACCCACCGCAAAAGTACATTTGAGGTGGGCCTGATGCAGAAACTGCCAGCGGATGTCATATTGGGAAACGACCAGGGTCGAATGACTTCCACCTTTATTCCTCAAGCTCCACTCCAAGAGGCTCACCCAGTAACCCCCAGGCAACAGGCTCGCACCACGGCTCCAGCAACGCACTCTGAGGCTCAGGTAAAAGACAGGGACCCTCCTATGACCCGTGTTACCTGGGATACCCCGACTGAATTTGAGGCTGAGGTTCAGATAGACCCCACGTTAAAAGTATACAGGTATAGGGCGATCTCCGACCAGGCCGGATTAGAGGGAGAACGGTATACCTGGGAAAAGGGGTTACTGTACCGCATTTCTGAAAGGGTAGTGGTGGGATCTGTGAATGTGACTACTAGACAGCTAGTGGTCCCCCAGAAATATAGACAGGAACTTCTTCGGATCGCTCAAGACATCCCGAGAATATGTGGCATTAAACCTATCATGAACTCTGCGTACCACCCGCAGTCTAATGGGTTATGTGAAAGGTTTAATGGGACGTTAAAGCAGATGCTCCATACCTTTGGAGAGGCCTATAAGGACTGGGTGCGATTCCTACCCCATCTGCTATTCGCTTACAGAGAGGTACCCCAAGAGTCCTCGGGCTTTTCTCCTTTTGAACTACTGTTTGGGAGAAGGGTGCGAGGACCTTTAGATTTAATTAGGGAGCACTGGGAGGGGGAAAGTAGTACAGATGGGACACCCATTGTACCATATGTGCTGGAGCTCAGGGACCGCTTGGAGGCACTAACCCAGACCGTACGGACCAACCTCCAGGCAGCCCAACAACGCCAGCGCCGCTGGTATGATAGGGGAGCCAGAAACCGCAGCTTTCAAGTGGGACAGAAAGTTTTGATTTTAAAACCTGTTCGCAATGACAAGCTGCAGGCCATCTAGCAAGGCCCATACCAGGTGGTGGAACAGAGATGTGACACCACCTATGTGATTGGCCCCTGCTCAGGGACAGGGAAGAGACGCATGCTGCACGTGAATATGCTCAAACCCTACCATGAGAGGATAGAGGACGTGGCGGCGATATGCACTTCAGCCTCTGAGGATCAGGAGAATCTTCCGCTACCTGACTTATTAGAGCGGGAAGATCAGGCAGAGGCCTCCACAGGTGTTCAGCTGGTGGAGCGGAAATGTGCCCAGGTACAGGAGTTAATCGCAGCTAAGGGAGCCACTTTCTCCAATTTACAAGGGTACACCCCGCTAGCTACTCACCGAGTTGAGACCCCCGGACAGCTACCTATGCGGCAGACCCCATACTGTATCCCGGAAGCGGTCAGGGAACATATGAGGAAGGAAATTGAGGAAATGTTGCAGCTAGGGGTTATTGAACATTCCGATAGCCCCTGGGCATCGTCGGTAGTGCTGGTACCCAAGAAAGACGGCACAACACGCTTTTGTGTAGACTACCGGAGGCTAAATGAAAAAACAGTGTCTGATGCCTACCCAATGCCCCGGATAGACGAGCTGCTAGACAAAATGGCACGAGGCCAGTACCTTACTACAATAGATTTATGCAAAGGGTACTGGCAGATTCCACTAGCCGAGGATGCCATACCCAAGTCGGCGTTTGTCACCCCGTTTGGCTTGTATCAGTTTCGCGTCATGCCATTCGGGATGAAAAATACTCCGGCTACCTTTCAACGGATGGTGGATCGGCTACTGGATGGGTTTCAGGAGTATGCATGTGCATACCTGGATGATATCGCCATATATAGCCAGACCTGGTCAGACCACCTGCGACATATTGGAGCAGTCATTGACCATATCGGAGGGGCAGGGTTGACGCTAAAACCCGAAAATTCGTACCCAATTATAGTGCCCTGGCCAAACCCCTGACTGACTTGACTCACAAAAACCTTCCTCGACAGGTCATCTGGGCCCCAGAGTGTGATCAGGCGTTCCAACAACTCAAGACTGCTTTAACCAATGCATAGGGATGGCAGAGGTACAGTACCTGGGGCACCGGGAGGGAGTGGGGCACCGGGAGGGAGTGGACAGCAAAAGCCTGAACCAGCAAAAATTGAAGCAGTAGCTAAGTGGCCTACTCCCCGGACAAAAACCAAAGTGCTAGCCTTCCTGGGTACTGCAGGGTACTACCGAAAATTCGTACCCAATTATAGTGCCCTGGCCAAACCCCTGACTGACTTGACTCACAAAAACCTTCCTCGACAGGTCATCTGGGCCCCAGAGTGTGATCAGGCGTTCCAACAACTCAAGACTGCTTTAACCAATGCACCTCTACTTGCTGCTCCTGATCAAACTAAACAATTTCTTGTCCACACAGACGCTTCGATGTTTGGATTGGGTGCAGTGCTGAGCCAAGTTGGAGCAGATGGCAGAGAACATCCTGTAGCTTACTTAAGGCAAAAGTTATTACCCTGTGAAGTGAGCTAAGCCACCATTGAGAAAGAATGCCTGGCTGTGGTTTGGGCCCTCAAAAAGTTGCAGCCTTATTTATATGGACAACCTTTTTCACTACTCACAGATCACAACCCGTTGGTGTGGCTGAACCGTGTGGCGGGGGACAATGCCAGGCTGCTGCGCTGGAGTTTGGCGCTGCAGCCTTTTGACTTCACTATTCATTACCACCCAGGAAAGCAAAACGGTAACGCCGACAGGTTATCTAGACAGACTGACCTTGAGAAGTGATCTGT